AGAAAACAAACGTCGCTGGAGAGCTTCTTTGAAAAGGGGGAAAGACCCAATGATGACCCCCCCCCCCGGTCCGTGAAAAAATTAGTCTTCCACGAAACCGGTCCCTGGTGCCAAAAAGGTTGGGGACCGTTGCTCTAGATCAGGGGTGGGGAACCATTTTTCTGCCAAGGGCCATTTGGATATTTATAACATAATTTGCGGGCCATACAAAATTATTAACGTAAAAACTAGCCTGTTATATTTGGTCAAACGTTTAATTAACTCACCCCTAATGTGATGGCTGGAACTGCTTCTCTTTGGTGAGGCGTGTGATGTTAGCTGGTATTGATGATGTTGCTACTCGCAACTGCTTTTCCAGGTTTGCTCCGAGATTTATTGAATTTCAAGTCCTTGGCAGGGCGAGACCAAATTGTTTCACGGGTCTTATACGGCCCGCGGGCCGGACGTTCCCCACCCCTGCTCTAGAGGGCATTTGGTCTACTCTTCCACGTTGACCAAGACATTTAATAACATTCCCCATTGTTTCAACTTCTCGATTTCCCAATGTGCTAACCGTTACTTCACGACAGTATCCGATCTCAGCAATAAGGCATTCAATATTTAATTCGCTGGCAAAACCTGGACTAGTGGACACATACTGTTGCTCGTATTTGGATAATATAATAATTGCACAGTATCAAACATGATATACATTTTTGTAAAAAAAAGAAAAGTACAATAAACATTGCAGTATTTTCTTGTCAAAAATACACCTTACATGTTCCATACGGCCTCTATGTAAATCTACTTGGAAATGCATCGTCTGTACGACAGTAAGGTGAGTTGCTTGCATGTTGCATACAGTCAACATGAACACAACAAAGGGTGAGATTTGAACTACAAAATCTAAATATCCACAGAGCATATTATCCCACTGCACCAATGTTTCACTTTAAAATTGCTTATATCGGTTTTAATATTTATAACAACCATTGAGAAAACACGACGTATTAAATTATTGTATATATAATGAATACCATATGAATTATCCCACACTTATAGATAGAAAAATATATAATCAAACGTTATTCTTTTGGAAGGCTGAATATATGCTGTACAATTTAAGAAAAAGACAGTGTAGGAACCAATATTACTTTGAAGCAATATAAATGAATGCTAGGCGTAACAAGATTCAACATTTGAAATATATAAAATCATTCTTTGGTCTTGGGATCTTCATTATTGGCAGCAGCAGGATATTGCAATACGCTGTACACGCATTCAGGTGGCGGGGTTGGCGTCTGGTAATTTTGCTCATTTTCTGTAAAAGTAAATGTTGTGTTAATGTTGTTCAGAAGACGTTCAGACAGAAGTTTACTACCCAAGTGGAACCAGAGCCATGCAGCCAGCTGACAACAGGGGGCAGAAATGTGTTGTGTAACGCTTTGTATGAGTAATGCATGATTCCGTGTGCATCTGCCACAATCCCTGTGTACAATTCCATGCATTCGTTTTGCAAGTATGCCCTTAAATTGGAAATGAGTCACTTAATATGTAAAATGCCATACGGTATAGTATAACATAGCAACAGTGTTGTTAACCAGTTATTTGTTAAACCAATTGTGTTTTACTTCCATGTATGGTGTGAAACACCACATTAACATTGTAATATCACAATATGTCCGATTATTTATTTACTTGTTGCCATCATATTGCAATCTTTAAGATGATTAACAGGAAACGGTGCGGGTGCTTTTTCAGCATTTTCTGTCGCCAAAATACCAAAGGTCGGTAGTCGACATTTCTGCCACGCAGTTCTGGGAACGCACGTCAGCAGTTTTTAAAGGCGATATTCCTCTTCGAATAATTCTGCTTACATTTTTATCCGATAAAATAATTAGGCTGCCTTAAGCACCGTGGTGTCAGGGAAATGTTCTGGTCTCTGGTGATAACATTAAGGAGATTTCCACGGGAAGATAAAATACAAGCTGTACTTGTAGCAGATAACATTCCAAGACAGACGGATTTTGCTAATACTGGAAGATCTCAATTAAGTTTACTGTTGTGGTAGATGTCTTCCTTGTTTATATTTAATTGTACTACTGTTAATTGAACAAATTATTTGGTAAAGCTGCATTGGCAGTGGTGCAAAAAGCACAATTAATAAAAACAAATCTGAACACAATCGTCAATAAGACCTGGCTACAATTGATAGCTCAAAGAAGATGGCTAAAGTGGAAATATATAGCAGCCAAATACTCTAAACGCGTGTTTCTACATGTTGAGGGGAAAAACGAGAGAACCCAGAGAAAACTCCACGCGACCATGGAGAGAAACATGCAAACTTCAAATGTACAGCAGGTGTCAGGCTCGGACATGACTCCTTCCAGTTTGGTGTTTTAACATATTAACATCTCGATTTAAAGCTTTCGTGATTGCAGGGATGCATATACTTGGTTCTTTCGGTAAAGTCACGTAGAAGGGAAATAATAAAATAATAAAAATAGAACAATAAAAATCTCACGACGTTTCGATTGCAACGCAAGCAATCATCATCAGGTGTGAAAACCACGCAAGAAAATTTGAAAAAAGTGTCTGTGGTTTTCACACCTGATGATGATTGCTTGTGTTGCAATCGAAACGTCGTGATAATTGTATTGTTTAATTTTTATTATTTTATTATTTCCATTCTACGTGACTTTACCGAACGAACCAAGAATATCTTAACATCTGTTTTATCGCCAGAAAGGGGGAAAACCTATTATCATAATGTAATGCTGACAAAGGAGGTCTCATGATGTAGCTGCTCACGTCGAGCTCTCAATGTCCTGATAGTGCTCTGTCTTTGTGCTTTTCGCCTTTTGGCGTCCTCTGGTCTAACACTGTGTGAGACTCGGCTCTAAAGAAAGCTGTCTCTGGTGTGGACCAATCAGTTTCAAAGACAATGCACATACTGTCAGAGCATGTGTTTTTTGTTTGCATGTTTACCACAAGTATATGTCGTTAATGCAGACATGATTCCTTGCAAAGGTTTCAGTTTGGTGTTTTCACATCTTAACACCTGTTTTATTGCCAGAAAGGGGAAAACCCGATTATTATAATAATAAGACCCTGGCTATCTGCAGTGCTCGTTCCATGACTTGTGAGGTCTCTTACCTGGTGATCTCATCCGTGAAATATCTTGACTTCCCATCTAAAATACATTATGCACATACCAAATTCGGATTATTACGTTGATAAAATAGAAAGGTTTTCTTTTTAAATGTAAATGCTTTCAGAGCCATACAAAGCACTAACTTTAGGTCACAAGATGCAAATTACACATTGTTTTGTTATGATTGTTTGCATAATTCTATTATTGCAGTTAGCAAACCTAAGCTAATACCTTCATAGAGTAATGTCCGTCATTTAAAGTTACTATTGTGTTTAGTTTGTTGTGCATCCCCCTTCACTTCCGATTAGCGTGGTTGGCTACGTACGGTGCGAAAGAAGTTCAACATACATACGTACGAACAATTTATCAAAACGAAAATTTATTAATCCCTTCATTTAATTCATGTCACTAGCCCTATTTGATCAATCTTTTGCTTATTGGAAGGCATGGCACTTCATGTGTTATGCCACCCTCCATTCACAACAGGTATTCTGTCATTGAAAACTCCCCCTATACACACACCGCTTTAGTGCGTAACAATGACACTTTTGTGTAACAAACACTGTATTTCCATAACAAATATGTCATGTTTTTTTTTTATTTGCGTATTTTAAGATATCAACACGCGTTACCTACAGCTCGTCGAAATTAAATCCCAAACACAATGAAGTCGAATGGGCAGGGGCGGCGCTAGACTCGCTGCTCGCAACTGGTGCCCAAGGGTGGACCATGCCATCGGTACCCCAAACCCCGAAGGGCAGATCTCGGCGGAGGTTTTTGATAAACTGTGAAACATCTTGCCCCTATTTCCCGTTGCGTTTTTTAAAAGTGTATTTGTTTAAACAAAGGCATGATTACGTGGGTTGTCCGTCCGTCTGTCCAACCAAGACATTCTCAGACATTTTGAGAAATTAATTATAATGAATATTCCCTCTGTACACGCACAACAATTGAAATAATGACATCTCCGTTATTTTATAATAATAAAAAATTAGATGTATTTTTTGGCGCTCCACTTAACTTGGCGCCCGAGGCGACCGCCGAGTTCGCCTCTGTGAATGGGTGGCCGGCCCTGAGAATTGGCGTAACACCCTTAACGCTCACGCCCAATTTTCCGAGTCAAGATGCAAGAGTTCATATCGTCTCGGCATTTCCCCCCGTTCTACACTGGATGCACGGTGAAATATAGTGGACGTTAATTAATAATAAAAAGGGCAGGCTTACACGAGGGAGTGAAAGTGTATGGAAATGTCACTGCTGTGGCACTTTTGAAGGTCAACTCTTACCCTGAGCTGAATTGCAGTCTCACCCTGTGGCAGCGTGCCAGGCTCTGTCTTGAGGACGCCTGTGTGCATTATCAAGAGGCACGGTGCGAAAGAAGTTTAACATATGGTACGTACATTATGGAAGGGCCCCCACTGGAGGAGGCCCGAGACAGCCACATTCGAGTGTATTTGGCCTACTCTTTCACACGGGCCAGGCATGCTGGAGATGGACATACCCACACTTTACCCCATCACACGCGAATAATACAGTACTGTACCAACATACAACACAGTATTGCAATGAATGAGGGGGGCACAGTGCTAATCTGCGCTATGCACACGCACATTTGTATTTAAACAAAACCATACCACATAGTTCTTGTGATGAAACGTACGAATTGTTTATCCGTATTTGAAGAATCTTCTCATCTGTTTCAGAACTAAAACAATAAACAGCACGGTCCATGATTGGTTTAACCTCATTAAGCAGTGCGGTCCACTGTGGTACACACATATTTGGCATTCAATCCATAAAAACGACGCTTCCAGCATGCAGAGTAAAACGTCGGACACTATGGCGATCTACAGAACTACACCGAGTATGCACTACGCAGCACAACTGCGGAAACAAACGGAAAATGTAGTCCCCAGGACGAGGTCAGGCGTAGACAATGCATTGCGCCAGGTGACAGTGTTTCCCGGTGAGCCGTGACCAAATGACACCATAATGTAATGTTTGTTTTCCAGTCACCAAAATGCCATGGCGACGGAGATCTTACTTTTAACCCCGAGTGGCATTTGTTGAACAAAACAAATGTCAGAGACAACGTTGCCAGCGGTGTAGGAGCACATTGTACTTTACTGTACAAAAATACAATCTCACCCCCTTAATCGGTAACACTACCTCAAACAAATGTTATGTTTTGGCTAAATAACAAAGATACATTTAGTCATTGACCTATGCTAATTTGGTCCGATACTATTCGACTAGCTGCCCTACAAAATACATTTTAAGATGCATGGTTCGTCTATATTTACCTGTGATATTTGTCCTGTACAATACCTGCAAAAACACGAATATTTTGTGCAGTAATTAGATTTTTGTGATTTCACAATAAAATCAGTCGGCCCAGTGATGTCCCTTGCTCTTTGCAGTATTTCTATATATTTCTGTAGTGCGTCATATGATAATTTTGTTCATGCTTTTGCACACTTAACATTAAAATATTTTAGCAGCTGTCAATGAATAAAAATACCATGAATATTGACGACGTGAAATACTATGTTGAGTTGAGTGATAAGGCTTCAACCACAATTAATATGTAGTGATCATTTGTACATGTATATAAAATACTTCGTATACTGTACTCTATGTACTATTTATAAAGAAAGCAAAGATGTCTGTGCTTCAGACACACTTGGCATATCCCAAATCTCAGCCTAGGCAATCTTTGGAAAAATGTCCCAATGCAGTATTGACGTCTTGGTGATCTCTAAGTATGTAGCCGCTTAGCATCCTGTAGCAATATGCATGATTACATGAAACATTGCTTTTTCTATTAACTGACCATGTAATATAATCCTCTACAACAAGACAGCAGCAGGCCACCTTGGTTGTGTTTCCCATTACTTTAAGAATTTGTCGTTAGTGCTTACGTGTGATTATTTTTGCAGCCTGTGTATTCTGTCTCGTTTCTTTTTTATAACACATTTACTGCTGCAAGTTCGCACAGCACACAGGTATAGTGAGATTATGGGTAAAGCATGAGGCCTGGGTGTTCAAGCAAGGCTTTGATAATAAAGAACATTATCTCGTGACTATTTTGCACCTGACAAGTGTCACGGTGTGTATGTTGTATGGATGATGTGTGCGGCTTGTTCTATGGAAAAATTTAAAGTTTACAACTCTGTAATGCAGTTTCCCCCAAAATGAAATAAAACATTTTTCCTGTGGGATTTGGATTGGAAAACACATTCCAGATATCTGTTTATGGAAACCACTGCTTGTTTAACATTACTCAATTTATATGAAAAAGTTAAAACAATTTCATATAGTGGAAAGCAGAGAGTTAACCCTTTTTGTTCACAGCCTACCCAAGACGTTCATTTTACAATTTTGTATTCAGTATTCAGTGGGATCCCTTACGTTTCATGGCGGTTCTTTTTTGGTACAGACAAAAGGCAACCAGTGTAGCCGCCAGAAGAGCCAAGGAGAGCAGTGTCCCAACAGGCACCAGCCACTGCAGGGTGTCAGCTATTTGAGCCTGCTTGCTCCCATCCTGGTGCATAGAATTATAGCTGGTCGTGAAGAGCGCTGTTGTTGGTTCCAGGGTGCTGTTCTCTGTATACGCTTTGACTGCTCCACTTGTAGTCGTGAGGTTGTCACACAGAGCCTTCATGTACAATGTTCCTAAGTAAAAAAATTGAGAAATGTGTGATTTTCAAACTGAATATTTATATCACCTGCAATATTTCAAAATATATTAACACTGAATACAGAACATACCTATAGTTAGAAATGTGAATCGTGTTTTCTTTATTGTGCATTATTAGCACGTTTTCTAAAAATTAATCATAAAAAGAACATACAAAAGTACCAAGAGTCAATACAAATAGTCATAAACGTGGACAGTATTATTCATCATATAATTTTTAATTAGGTCACAATGATTGTGTCAACTTTGTGTTGAAGGAATCTCGACTACTCAATATAGCCGAACAAATGTAATAGCAACGAATGATAGCAAAGCCAAGGCACTTGGCAATGCTTGCCGACTACGGTACAAAATGGTAAAATAAGGGAATGATGGGGTGGGATAGTAAGGCCGTTAGTAATCGGGTTTGGAAAAGGAATGAGACGTGGCAGCAGGGGAAGGAGGCGATGGTGCAGGGGGTTGATGGAGGAATGGGTGGAGTGTGATAGTGGATGAGTCTGATAGACGGGGGTAACGTAAATGTGGATGGAATGGTATGAAGCAGTGGCGGGCCGTGTATTTTACACCGAGGCCTTCAGTGCTTTCCTCCCGCAATTAAACCGCCTTCGAATAGCCTCACCATAACACTTGGGGTATAGGGTATTGTCATTCGACGTAACCACCCCATATTTACAGTGACAGTAACCTTTATTGAGTGGAATAAAGTGATTTAACACGAGGCTCAACACTTATGAGAGTTACAGTACACTAATTGCAGAGACATGAATACATGGTGACTGAAACCATCAGGGATGTACCACTATTACGCAGTATGACAGGATGCTGCATAACAAATAGACATTGCTTAGCCCAAATCAATGTCAATACCAAAAAAACAAGAACAAACTCACAACAACCAGTCACATTTACTCATACGGCCACCAAGCAAGCAAACATGCCATAAAACACATATAACACAATCAGGATTCAACAGGTTTCCCCACAGAAAATGTCAAAGAATACGCCCAACATGGCAAACTCGAAATCTGATTGGTTAAAGAATATGACATCGTCCCCATTTGCTTTAATAGCAGAGGGGATTTACTCGACATTCTGAAGGCCTCCTAGCAGATTTTTCATCCGGAGAGGCGAAGACAGCACAGGTGGAAAATCTTATTGGATAAAAGCTCTAATTTATGAGCTGCACTGGAAGCAGCGCAACTGAGGGAGAGAGTAGCAATGAAATGACGTTAATAGACTGATGGGAACGAACTTTGTACAATACATATAGCATTAATGAAAATATATAAAATTATAAAAATATAATTTTCTGATTCTGACAATCTCTAGGCCAGCAGAGAAGGCCTTGCTGGCCCTGACGGCCCGCCTCTGGTATGAAGTGATTGCACGGAATGACAGGGTTAATGGATTGCTAGGCTGAGCGTAGATGAGAGTAGATTGAGGTAGCAAGGGCAGTGGTCTGGTGGCCGGGCAGTTGGGCTGCCCGGAAGGGCATGGGTGAGGTAAGGTTCAGGGAACAATGAGGCAGGGGCAGTGACTAGGGGTTGAGGTAGTGCTCGGGGAACATGGGAAATGGGGTTGTGACGAGGGTAGAGGGAGCAAGTTGGAGGCTGGGGCTGGGGGGAGGGGTTAGGTGGTGCAGGTAGGGGTGGCGGAAGAGGAAAGGGAAAAGCAGTCGAGAAAAGAGATAGGACGAGAGGGCAGAGTGAAAAGAGGAAAGCGAGAGGGAGAGTCGGATGTGGAGAGGGAGTTTGTTCCAGTGGAAGGGGGCAAGCAGAGAGAAAGAGCGATAATAGGGGCAGGGCAGTGGAGGGACAGCAAGAAGATGGGCATCTTGTGACCGGAGCGAGCCTGATGGGACTTATGAGGAAATTAGAGAAGAGAGAGAGGTAAGGGGGGGCAGTCCATGCAAAGCTTTGAAAACTAAGGCGATTAATTTAAATAGACAGCGGTGATACATAGGAAGCCAATAAAGAGAGGTGAATGGAAGGTTAAAGACAGTGGTGCGTGCAGCTGAGTTTTTAATTTGTTGTAGAGGGGCAAGGACGTAGGCAGGGAGACCGTCTAGGAGCGAGTTGCAATAATCCAGATGAGCGAAGACTAAGGGGAGTGCACGATAAGTTTGGCAGCGGTGATAGTGATGAAGGGCGTATCTTCCTGATATTGAAAAGATGTTTATTTTACCAGGTAAGGCCCACTGAGCCATATAATAGCTATTTTTTCAGAAGCGACCTGGCTACAAATGATAGCTCAACGAAGTGGCTTATCACATGGAATTTTTTTGCAGCAAATTACTCCGAACGCATGTTTCGACATGCCACTGCTATGCACTTTTCACAAACTTGCCCCCCTTATTTACACTGCCAAATCAAGCATATCAAATCAGGTGATTGTGGAGGCGAGTGTTGGTGGATTGCACAACTGTTGTGAAACTTCCCATGAGAAAAATTTATTCAGCAAAAATGTGGCCTCCACCTGTTCCATCTGCGTGGGATAGAGTGTTACCATCTTGGACGCGTGGGTTTTCTCTGGGTGCTCCAATTTCCTCCCTCGTGTAAGCACTCATTAATTGGTCCGTACCACCTTCATACATAGAGGACCACGGAGCTTGGGCAATTGTAGGTGCCGGCTCGCCGCGTGGCTGCCTTCCCGCTTGTCTGTGGTTCCTTGCACCCGAGTCATTATCACTATTTGAGGGTGAGTGAGTACTGCACGTGTTATATGTTTAAATGATATTAATACACAGTCAATCAAATTACATATTGGATGTCTTATGGTAAGAGTTGATGCAACCGTGGTGTTGCCCATTGTGCTCACCATTATACCGCGGTAGCAAACAAGCTTAGGAGATACTCTTTGGTTCTTTCGGTAAAGTCACGTAGAAAAAAATTAAATAATAATAGAATACGACCTTTAGATTGCAACACAAGCAACCATCATCAGGTATAAATGAAATAGAAAACAAACCTAGTAAACTTGGAAATATTTATACAATACAACACAGAGAGTCGGCCAACAAAACAGTCAACACCCTACCTGGTTGATTACGTTCTTCCAAAGATTGCTACATTTGAGAGAGAGAGACAAAACATAGACACGGAGACACACAGACAGACACACAAGCAGAGAGAGACTCACACAGAGACAAACAGAGAGAGACAAACACATAGGCACACAGAAAGACCACGTCTCTGTGTCAAGGCCTTAAATAGAGAGAGGGGGGGGGGGGCAGAGGGGAAGTTGTGTGGAATTCCTGCCCATAGCGGCCGGAGAGAATGGGCCCATAAACAAGCACGGTAGAAAGCCTTTTTTATTAGAAAGTGTAATGCAATGCAACAGTAATTCCTGCAATCACGAAAGCTTCGAATTTAGTTTAAGCTTAGGAAAGATACTCAATATTGAATGGGTAATCTGAACTAATAAACAGTACTATATTGTTGCTGGTGTTTGGATAATTATTGCACAGTGGCAAGCATAAATAGAGTTTTTTCATCAAAAATACAAAAAGTACATTTGTCAAGAATACGCGCCACCTTACCATGAAGACAACTTGTTTCTCTGGAGCCTTCACTTGCAGAAACTTGACAATTTTGTGCTTCACGAGCGTCCTAAGAAATATTTAAACCTTTAAAAAGTACAACGTATCTTAACGTATTAGAACGTACAGTAAGTAAACATTCCAATTGTATGATTTAGGAAAACTTGACATGCATCCGTTACTCGGATTTGATTTTCTGTAAATATTAAATCTAACATTGTTTATCTATGGAGTAATTTGCCGACAATTTCGTAACTGTAAACGTTCACACTGGCATTAGCTTAGATTCCTGTACCGTGTGAACGTCACAAGCATTACTCGCTGTCTGCCAAGTTCATTACACCTCCAATTAGCACGGTTGGCTACGTGCGGTGCGAAAGAAGTTCGTCATACGTACATACTCTGAAGTCCAAACTTTATTGGCAATGTCGGTGTGCAGCCCGTCTGTGAATACACTGCTTAACGAGGGCCTCCCCACGCCATTAAGACAGTGAGGGTTTTTTGACCTTACTTCACCACTTTAGTCAATGGAAGTTGGCGGATGTGGGGCAGCATATATCAACAATGTATTTTAATGTACTGCGTTCTAATATCGTTAACACCTACTACTGTTTTGTGCTTGATAGTTGCCCATCCAAGCGCCATTTAGTCACAGTGATGCTTAGCTAATTGGGTTGCGGATTGACTGTGATTGCAAAAAAAGTGAAAACAATGCAGGAATTTAAGTCGTGAGCTGCTCCTAATTCAGCTGCTCCTCACTCGTCAAGGATCAGTGGCTCGGTGTGAACATCGTGACCGTAACACGTTAAGTAATTCGATAACTTTAAGAAACATTACAAAGTGACTACTTGTTTGACATATTCACTCCCATTCTACATGATGAAGTTAATACATACCATCGGTTTATAGCCTGCTTTGAAGTGTTATGAGTAATCTGTGTTTTTGTTTTATCTGTACTGCCCTCCTCCCCCTCAATGTGAGCCTTGCAGAGCGCCACGCGTTCTCCATTCATTAAGCCCAGGATGGAGCACTCCACCAGGTTTGAATGGCCCTTCCATAACATGTGATCACATTCTTTAATGTACGTGCTGTTACCTTTAAGCGGAGTCTAATTTTTCTTGAGCCATCGACCCATTCTTTCAATTCATACTTGTAATGATTGTGTCCCTCGTAAACATCAATTGAGTCAAGGTACCAATCGGAAGCCAGTCCACGTTGGTTATGAGATAAATTAAATTCCGTTATGCATCCAAGATCTTTCGTTTTTATCGTGAAGAAATCAATCTGGAACACATTAACACGTGTCATTTTCTTTCAAAGTCAAACTGCAATACTAAATACAGACAATATACGACTAGGGTATGAATTATATATGCGATGTTTGAAATTATGGTTTAGAAACATACCTGATTTTGTTCAAAACAGTTACATGATGAGTTTAAAAGCTCAGCTTCCAAGTTATTTTTGCTTCCATTTATAAAAATGAAAACACGAGAATCTGTTCCAGCATGCAACAAATCTCCTGTGTGCACCTTTATGGTGTAAGTCTTCTCCACCAAAGCTGCAATATATTGACATATGCTGATTAGTGTTCTCAATCAGGTAAATAAGTAAAACGTTATTGAATATTAACCAAATAAATATCCAATCCACAATGCAAATCTTAAGACTGTGTGGTCAGAAATAAACCACTTAGAGACACGTCTACATCCAGAAGCATACTTCTTTGCCAAATGTTGCAGAAAGCAGAGGCAGAGAGCTGCACACAAATTTATAAATAGAGCGTTATCATATATAAGAGTTGAATCAACCAAAGTGGTATTTCATCAGAACAGAGGACCTAGTGAGACCAAAAGCTGACAATAAAGAATCTACCAAATCTACATTTTGTTATACATACTGTGTTCAATCACCACCATGCAAGTCATAACACCTTTCCTCGCAATGCTCCACTTTGGAATTCCCTCCCATAATCTTTTTTCTCAAGTTCTTACAACCTTGCTCAATTCTTGAAACCTATTCAATCTTACACATGACAGCCGGCTAGCCGTTTAGAAATATCTAGGCTGGCCTTCCTACAATCCATCCTGGATTTAACCAAGCTGGATTGTGTGAGGAGCTCACAAATCCTTGAAAGATGTAGACAAAGTCCCATCGGTGAGCTTCTCCGGCAGGCAAGGCTTTTGTTCGGCTGGATATAGAGGGCTAAACGGGCGTGGCACGGGCTAGAGAAGATATGGAGTGATGTGGTACAAGAGGATGTGGAGCTGAGTGGACTTGCCAATGACTGGTACCAGCGGTGCTAAGATCAGCCTCTGTGGAGGAGGCTCGTGAAGCATGCTAATGGGCATTTGGAGGCAGTCGCTCTCCAGCAATAACGGAGGACAGAAGAGTGATGCTCACAACAATGAGCGGAGCGCCGGGTGGCTAAAGCACAGCAAGTTGGCACAGTACGGGGCACAGGCCGATGCCAGTCATCTCAGTCAGTCAACCCATGGCATCTGGGTCTGTCCCGTGACCTTCACATGGCCTTAACGTGCACATAGCCTGGCACAAGCACCGTGGTAACATCACCGCCACTTCGTGGCTAATGGCGGTTGCTGTGCTAAGCAACTGAAATGAAAAGGAAGAAGAATCCAGAAATCCTAGGCTAAATGTATGAGTTGGGCAGACTGTGACATACTTGTCAAGTTCTGGCTGAATAAAATTCCACATGATAGATTATTCTCAATTATTTGGCACTGTTCCCCAACGCAACGTGATGAGAGTTCTATTCACTGTCGTCAACAGGCAATCCCAACACAGAAGAGAGGGGCTGGGATTTGGGCAGAGCATCATGAAGCCAAGGTATAATCGCCACCCACAACTAATCTGGATCCAACCAAGACGTGTACATTTTTTTACGTAATGTGACTTAAACAACAGAAAACGCTGCTCTGCATCCTTATCCCCTTTGAGACCAGCATTAACGACCATCACTTAGAAACGTTGACGAATGCACCAACAGGTTTTGTTTTCAGTAAACATCTATGATCAAGAGTGAGCAAGTTTAATGCATCGTAAATAAAATTATTAAATAAAATGTATTTTCCTTTGTATACGATGTATATAAAGCAGAATTTATCTCTTTTTGACAATCTGCTCTTTTGCGAACTATGCATTAGCTGTTTATTCTAATGGTGTGCATGTTTACGTTTCTTACCCGTCACAGTTAATCTTACACTCGTACTCAGTTGGTTATTGTGTTCAAGCCATGTGTGACTCAACACATTCCAGTCATCCATGGTTGTTGCATTTTTGCACGAATATTCAGCAAGGGAGGCTGCAGCAGCACATCCGTACGTGCCCGAGTCAGAGACCTCCGCGTTTCTTATGTTTAGGTCATGGTTTCTGGAGCAGAAGTACGTCGCGTGTCTGGCTGATGTCCCCTCGTCACTCTCACAAGAGAGCAAAAGGGCTCTGTCCACAGAGCACACGACCACAGGCACCGGTGGGCTGCTGTCTCCTTGTGTCGTCTTGAACCAGACCACCCCGCCTGGCTTCTTGCCGACATCGGGGCCACACGGCAGCCAGGCCCTGTCTCCAACTTCCACAGAGATGGCAGTGTCCACATTGCCTGCCAAAAGGTAACACATTTAGATAATTATTTCCCAAAAACCTTAAAAACCTCTATTATGAATTATTTCCAGTTAAGAGTAAATTACAAAATTGCTAATGATAAACGATATAAACACATTATAGAGTCATCATTACTATATACACTATTTAAGATCCTGCAAGTTAAACATATTTTTCAAGATGTAAGGTTTGAGTGGCTTGAAATTACATGTTCACAGTCTCAGGTTCTAGACAACAACTTGTCAATGATTTCCTTCAAACCACAATAAAAATCCCTTAATTCATGGTTAAACTTATTTTCGACTCACAACAAATCCACATTTACACGTTTTGCATTGCAGTAAAGTTAATATCTATTTTATTGTATTGTTAATATAATAATGAATTAGGCATCATTACATGATTGATGTATTTAATTTATGTGTAAAGATTTAATCTTGGATTGGAGAAATACATACATTTATATAAATAGTAAAATATTAACCATCTCATTACAACTCCGAATGGATATTAACTATAATGATAGAACTTAACAAAGAAAGCAACAACGTTGGCCCTTTGATTACTATGAAAAAAAATCGAATACCATATACAAGTTAACAGTACAAGTTATTTGTCATAGGGATAACAAAAAAACCCAGCACAGAATGTATTTTGTATGCACCTATTGAAGCTAGACCACAAGCAAAGTTATGCACGATATACACGAGAAAAAGCAGATGAAAATAAAGATGAAAATAATCATCCCAATGGGTCTAAAGACGTGAGTTTTCAATCGGTACATATTGGCTGCATGACGTGGATCAGAAACCTTTGACTCAAATTGAAACGAAAATTGAAAATAACACGAAGAATGACACTCAGAGACACAAAGACCAACGTTGAGATCAGACAACCTAGCAAGTTATAAAGGTCATGCAGAGTGTTACGTAAGTAGGCTTAGACAGGACAAATCACTCAGAATGATGCTGATGGATGAGACTGGTGATTGCAGCTAGATGAGGCAATACACCCGAGTAAGACCACCGTGGAGATGGAGTAATGAAGATTATTTCATGCGAAGGAAATATTTTATTATGGCATCGAAAGAATGTAAAGGATGGAGAGTTTTCATCCAGCAGTGGAATCCTAATGGCTTGTCATTAGGAGACATCAACCCAAACATCCTGGTGAAAGGTTGTGTCAAATTATGCATAATTAAAAAATAAATGAATGCTCAGAAATGTTACCTGACATTTTTTATATAAAATCATATTCTTAAAAAAAAATTGTTACTTACTCTAAATATAGGAAACAACCCAATTAAACATTTATATAAGCCACTTGTTCATACTTTCAGTAGCATATAACACGTTATCAATTCATTACAATAACATATTTTTTTAGGATATAGAATTACAATAAGTATTTTACATGCATGAGCTCAAGTTATCATCATTGCAGTAGTCAATCATTTATAAACAGTTTTAGCGTTAAAAACCAAACACGGTACCAACGGTACCAACCGTTTGCGTTGCTGCATACAATAGGCAATTACAAGAGACACTACTGCTGTTTTCACAAAGGGTTTATAGTCGTACTTACTCGCTCTAAGTCCATTTGCTTGCAGGAAATAAATGAAAAGTGTAAGTAAATACACGGCCATTGCGCTTATTTTGAAATATATTAACTTCACGTTTCAGTACAATTGCCAAGATGCACAGTTGAGGCTGAAGCAGGCTGCTCTCTTCCAGAAAAGGGAAAATAAAGTATTGGCTCTGGCGCATATTGTCTCATATTATAGGGGAACACCGTTGTGATTAAATCTGTGAACAGGAAGTTAATCATGCGTGGTTTTACTTCTTGCAGTGTTAGGGAAAGCCATTTGTTACCACTAATATATGGTCATGCGAGTTGGGACTTATCAGAAAACTCAACGTGTGCTGACTTTGTACATGCACTCTTATAAATTTGCACATATACAGTGTGTTTGATTGGGAGGTACTTTTACTTCGTGTGTAAATTCAAAACTTTGCACAAGAGATGGTAATACATGATGGCAGTGAGGGAGCAGGTGTATTTGGGTGGTGTGACATTCATGGGTGGCAGGAGAGAATGGGACAGAGGGGTTCAGGACAGCTAGGAGTGGGGATCATGGGTAAGGAGGCTGAGGGTTTGTAGAGCTCCATTTTCACTGAGCATAAACTGGAGGCACATTTGTAGGGGTGTTACGGAGGGGCTGTTATACAGTTGTATCAGACGGTAAACAAACACAGTGGGCGTGGCTATGTCTGTGCACGGGGAGGTGCTCACAGCGACGTCCGCACCGGGCAGCCTGGGGGGCTGACTCGGAGCTGGGATCCCCCGGGGCCCCACCCCTCAGCGGGGGAGTTGGTATATAAGGGGGTGAGCCGGAGGGCTCGGGGCAGAATGTATGAAGCTTAACCAGTGAAGAAGGAAGATCTGCTAAATAGAGCCTGGACTCCCCTGGATCGCCGCCCTTGTCAGGGCCGACCAGGACCGAGCCAGTGGCGTGGCCCCGAGAGCCAGAGCCGGTGCTCTTGTCAGAGCTGGTCTGGGGACTCCGGGCACCGTAAGCCCAGCTTGCCAGGGCTGGGCTAGCTAGCCTCCCCTAGCCCGATAGTGGAGGACCGAGAGGTAGGCTAGGTGTAGCCTAGAGTGTGCCTCCCCAGTTAGACGGGTGAAGGGGCCGACACCCCTTCCAGTGTTGTATGTCCCGGTCTGTATTGTACCTGGTACGGAATAAATAAGTGTGCCTCCAACCACGGCGTCCAAGTCCTCCTGAACGTTATTACACATTTACAAGAGCAACATGGCATAGGACAGGCAGAAGGGAGACAAAGAAATATGAACTGCGGCTAGCAACAAGTCGGTGGTGTATGTGACTAAGTTAAGCTGTGGTAGGCAGTGGACCAAAGCGAGTGGTGGGCTCACATGGCCTGGTATTGGTAGGGCCCAAGGTAGGCAACAAACCAACAGAGCTAACCGTGGAAGGAATCCATAATAGAGGAAATTCTGAAGGGGCATGCGGTTGTCAGGATCTGGGACGCAGGCCAATAAGGTCCGGGGCAGGAGGTAAGTGTGTAGTAGAGACAGTGCGGGTGAAGGAACAGTACCTGGCCTCCACAGCTTGGGCATCAACACATACACTTTTTTTCGGATGTAGTTTGTGTTAAGCTTTGCAACGCATCATTGTAATTCGACGACCACCTGGAGAGCTTAAGATAAGGTCGCCAAGAAGCAAACTCGGCTATTTTTCCGTAAATGTCGTGTGAACAGCACATTTCCTCCTACGTCACTTTTTCATTTGCACACACGGGGTAAAGTGGAGCGGTTTCGGTGGTGAGAAGAGTCAACTGTTACGCAGTGGTTGCTCGGACTGTGACACCTGCTGCATGCCGGCCCCAAGTTCTGCTTGTAGTCTTTAAGGTCAATCCATAATTATTTATTAAAGTACATAGGTACATTTGTGCCTACATTATTTAGCCTTTTGTGGCCTTAATATGCAGCACTTATGTATTTTAGAAAAGAACGTAATTATATATTCAAAACACAGCCATACCAGAAGAATGTAATGCCTTACAAGAAAGCCACGACAAATTCTTGGTCTGACGAACTACAAAGTTAGGATATCTTGATGAACAAGGAGCTATGGAGACACACGGAGGAACAGAGCAAGAGACAGGGCTCTACGTGTCGCTTTCGCTGCACGACCGCTCAGGCCCACCGCCTCTTTCCGTTTCACCTTCCGCTACCCCCCCTGCACCCCCAGTCCCTCACGGTCCCCACGGTCCGGGGAAGGGGCGGAGAGTTCGGTGGGGGCCTTGCAATCTGCGCAGTGAGGGCAGGGAGTGCGGTTCTTTGGCTGACCCCTTGCAGCTATTTGGCTGACCCCCTTGTGGTTCTTTGGCTGACTCCTTGTGGGTCGCCGTTAATTTTTTAAAACTGAATTTACTTTATTTGGCTCTTTACACTCTCAAGTGTTAGTACAGGCAGTTCCCGCTTTTTCGATACAATGCGTTCGTCGAAACCCTGTTGTAATTGAGACACTACGTTTCCATAGACGCAATGTTACTCCGGTCTTGGTGACAAAATCTCCAGTTAAACTGTATAATAACTACATCCCATGATGTAGCTGCTCACCCCGAGCTCTCAATGTCCTGAAAGTGGCATTGTCTTTATGCTGTTCGCCTTTTGGCGTCCTCTGGTCTCACACTGTTTGAGACAAGGCTCTAAAGAAAGCTGTCTCTGGTGTGGACCGATCCGTTTCAAAGACAATGCATATACTAGCAGAGCATGTTTTTTGTTTGCATGTTCACCACAAGTATATGTGGTTAATGCAGAAATGATTTCTTGCAGAAAGGTTTAAGTTTGATGTTTTAACATCTTAACACCTGTTTTATTGCCAAAAAGGGTAAAACCTATTCTTATATGTCGAATAACTATGGGGGGGGGGGACACAACTCATGGGAAAAAAAACAAATTGATGCAGTTTATTCCATAACCTATTTTATATAATGAAGTCAGAAGTTTTTGTCATCTGCCGTATACCTGCTGTGTTTGTGTACAAGTAGGTCTGCGTGCGATGTGACTCTCGAAATATTTTGGTCAAAGACAAAAACAAACAAATGGTTCTTCTTTGGAAGGTTGCCCACCCTTGGGCTACAAGAAGCTGGGGAAAGAAAGACAACCCGACGTGACTCCAGCACCTCACGGTGTTTATTTTGCACGTGGCCCAGGAGTTACACGTACCTTGTGACTGGAAGCACGTGACCAATTAAACACAAATACTCCCCCACCCTGTAGTCTTAACAGACTTTTGGGGCAAGTTGTTAGCGAGCACCTATGAAGGCCGGTACGGCACACGAGGCTTGTGTGGTGTTGTGGGTGGCCAGCACCATGCCAGGGCACCTTTTTTCTCCCCTGTAACGATGATACAGCACAGCGCCAGGTACTCGTTTGAGGCTGAGTCAACCTAGGGGAGGCTCAGGCCTGACTCAGAGACAAAGGCTTTCGGGCGTGGTTCTGGCTACCCACCGCCTCGTGTGCCGTGCCGGCCTTCATTTGTGCTCACTGAAAGCACTTGCCCCAACAGCAGTCAAGGGTATACGGGGAATCTTTGTTTTTGTTTGTAGTTCTGGCGGGTATCTACAATTTATTTTAATATTTGATTTGTCGAGGGTAGATGCAACCATTATTGTCTAGATTCTTAAATATATCCCACTGATGGATTTGATATACTGTTCAACCACGCGTACAGACATATTCAATAAAAACAAGTATCTTATTTATTCAAAATCAGGGCACCAGTCATTAAATAGGCAACTAACATTCGGTCCAAGGACTACTCGATATCGTTATACAAATTAAAACAAAATAAAAATTAATCAATGGCTTCATGCTGAATTTCAGCTTATCAGGCATTACCCAGTGCACAATATGGTTAGGCAAGCATCGCAACAAAGACAATCAGCATTCAGTCCAAAGCAGATGCTAGCGTTGACAAGGTGACACGGCAGACGTGTAGGGAGTCTTCTGTGCTGTTGAATGTGAAGTCGTCGCACGCAGCGCAGACCGCAGCTTGATGGGTGACGACACAGCAGCTGGTGACTTGGCAGGTGGTCTCGAGGACGTGAGAACGACGACGCTGCTCTTCAACGTCTGACGCACAGACGCGTGTCTTCATCCACGGCACGTGGCCGTGTAGCACAGTTTGGCGCAATGCCGTCGATTATCCTTCATCTCACTTGCCCTATGTATCAGCTCTGTATTATTAAACAACTGCAAACATTTAAATTTTGTTTTAGCATCTCCACTCCTTGACTACAATACCTCATAGTGGCTGCTCGGCATTTAATTCTTTCTCGTGCAGAGAGGGGGGTAGGAGGAGGAGGTGGGCTGCGTGAGCGCTAGGGGGAGAAGAAGTGAGGCTGGGGGGGTAAGTAGGCGCGGCTAGAAGTGGAAAGCTAGGGAACGGGGGGAAAGAGACTCGTAAAAATAGACTAGTAACCGGCAGGTATGATGGAAACAACCACAACAGTTAAGTCTTTACCTGGTTAAGTTCAACCGAGAAGATGGATAGAAATTGAGCAATCATTGGAAGGATGTTATTAACCAGGTAAAACCGTAACTGTTTATGGCTGTTCCATCATATCTGCCTGGTACTAGTCTAGATTTGAAGCTTTCGTAACTGCAAGGATTCATATTCTTAGGTTTTTTCGGTAAAGTCACGTAGATAAAAAATTGAAATTAATAAAAGTAAAATAAAAATAAAATAAAAATCACGATGTTTCGGAGGCAACACAAGCTCCCGTCTTCAGGTGGAACCGTCACAGCACGACTGCTGCATCAAGTAAGAGAAATTCCAAGAATGTCTCTACATAACAAAGGCTCAGTCCCATTTACAGCAACCGCACCTTTACATCAGCCGCACCTTAACAACTCTTGGAACCTCCCATTTCAACCAGTCTACACAACAAAGGCTCATTCCTAGCAGCGTGTTTCAGCCGCACCGAACCTCACAATGGCTCCTCCTACCCTCAACCAGTATATATACAAGGACTGTTTTCTTGGAATTTCTCTTACTTGATGCAGCAGTCGTGCTGTGACGGTTCCACCTGTAGACGGAAGCTTGTGTTGCCTTCGAAACGTCGTGATTTTTATTGTATTTTTTATTTTACTTTTATTAATTAAAAATTTTAATTTTTACCTACGTGACTTTACCGAAAAACCCTAAGAATATGGGTACTAGTCTATTTTTCCGAGTTAATTCCCCCCCCCCGCATCCCCAGCCTCCCACTTCCAGCCCCGCCCACTTCCCCCCTCCCAGCTTCACGTCCTCTCTCCTCCTAGCGCTCACGCAGCCCCCCCCATCCCCCTACCCCCCCTTTCTCTCTCTCCCCCATTGCTCCTCCCCCCTTTCTTACCTATATAACCTCTTGCCACGGCAGCTCTCTCGCCCACTGCATTGGCATTGTTGCTGCATTGGCATTGTTGCTGCATTGGCATTGTTGCTGCATTGGAACTCGTGCACCGCCCATGCTCTTGGTGCTGTTGATACACTTGGGCTACGCCCATCCCCAAACCTTTATAAACAGTTTGCTTTTAGAGGCTGACTCCTTTGCTGATGATGACCGCTTGTGTTGCGATCGAAACGTCGTGATGTTTTATTTTATTTCTAACTACGTGACTTTACCGAAAGAACCAAAGAGTATGGATTCCTGCAGTCACGAAAGCTTCAAATCAAGATTCATCAGTCTATCCTTTTGTCAGAGATAAAGGTAGTTTATGTATTTATTACCTTTCCAGACCTCATGCACTGAATTGGGCCTCTCCAGCTTAGCCATCAATGTAAAGTGCTCTTCCTACAGGGTTCACATTGTTACAGCTCTCAAGTCAAGTTATATTCCTGTCTGTGGTGCCATGCTACCTTAACAAAATAACATTGACATTTCAAATATCCGTTAACTAATCAATTGTAATTCTCCTTATTATTGGGATTAGTATTGAGACATTTAGTATTTAAATCGTTAACACCGAAAAGGATTTTTTTTACATTGGGGTATATCTACGACAGTCTGTAATTGTGACCCTCATGATGGCACGCTGCGTCGCTGGGAATCAGATTCATTTTCTATTCACCTTGGGGTGCGACAGGGATGTCCCCTGGCCCCTACACTTCTTTAACCAGGTCGTTGAATAAGCTTTCCATGGCTGTACTGGAGGGTTTTCCATCTGGCACAGATACAATAGGAGGCTGATTGATGTCCAAGTGCAGTCAAGGGATAGCCTCCCAATTCAGCACCAGACCTTTTCAACAATAAGATGGATTCTACAAAATATGGTGCATATTAGAAATATATGTGTTGTATTTGTGTTTCCATTAATTGTGTTTTAATGACTACAAACAAGCGTGCATATAATATTGTATGATTCTAATTAAGCGATATTCCTATTGCTTTGCAACCTTCTATATGGCTATATATTATTGGCAGGTGTTTTCATGTTTGGAATTGAATGTGAATTCCTGTGAAGGCAAAACATTTGTAATCCACACACTTGTGTTCGTTCATCAGGAGCGCGTGTGACTCCGCCACTTGTCCACTCGGTTGCAGGATGAGCGGCCCATTCTTGATGCGAATGTGACCTACATATTTTCTAAAATACAAAAATATAGGCATCAGATATGCGTGAACAAAAATGTACTGAAGTGAAGCAAATGTATCATTAATTTGTGTTCTCAGTCAAACATGATTCTTTATGTTATTTATGACGACCCTGCCTGAAATATATGGTGTATAAATTTGGTTGTTTATGCAACACAGAAGAAACCCCAACCTGCAGAGAACACACATATATGAAAAGATTCAAAGCAAAGACATATTAACAAGCAACATATGAACGCTATTACCTTGTACAGAATTCCAAATTCTATTTAAAAAAGAAGTGGCTAAGGGATGTGGTGGCTCTTCGTGTGAACCACGAATTCCAGCTCAAAGTTTCTGATTTACAGGTGCCCAAAATATTTGCAGAGCGTTTTTGTTGATGCTCGTTTACAATTGTGCTGTTGGCACACACGCTGCTGCTGAATGAACGTGACATATCGCTAGACGATGAACAAAGGGGTCAAAAAACAGCAGCCTACTGCTTAAGTCAATCGGGTTCATGAGGATGAGAGTGATATTATTTGCTTGGCTGACACTCAGATTAAGAGTGCAGAATCAGCGTGGAATCTAAGTGTAGCCCTTTATTCGCATTGCCGCATAAAATTAGCACCACCTTCTGGGATGTAGGCCATTATTTTTATATACAATAGCAATGTGTAAATCCCATCACCCATTAGTGCTCTCTACGAGAAAAGATCTGTCCCATTCTAGTTTTAGCAGGTAAATACAGAATTTTTGCATTTCGAATTTTTTTTATCAAACTTTTTAATTTTAAAACGAATTGGCAGCGATTGAAAAAAGTAGTGTCTCTCTTTACAGAAACCGATTATTTTAGGTTCAATATATTAATGTAACTTACCATAGACACAGAACATGTCTGCAGCAGGCTTGGCAGGTCCGTTTATATAGCAAACAGTCTCACTCCGAGTGAATTTTCTGTGGGAAATAGTCACGTGTGTAAAATTTGTACACTGTGTGCTGCATTTCTACATTGTAGTATACTCTCCACTATATTGTACTATACATTTCTTGAATATGCAGAACATCACTTCGTCCCATCCTGATGAGCAATTCCTGTTTTGGTTAATGCAAACATAATCCCTTGTAAAAAGGTGTCCGTTTTGTTTCCAGATTAAAGGGTAAAAACCTATTACTAATTCCTGTTGTGTTATACGTAGCAAAACATCAATGTATTCATACGCATTCTCATGAATGATTTCTGGCCACGGCACACACCAATGAGGTTATATCCTGAGCCGCCCCGAGCCCTTGGAGTTGGTGAAATATCCAAACTGTTGGCACCGGCCGTGGCTGCCTTCCCGTTTGTCTGTAAACCTCCGTGCGGAAACTGCCCGTGCGGAAACTATCCACGTTATAAATTCTACAAAGTCTCAAGAGGCAATTTGCGTGAATGATAGTACGGGATGTAAATATTATCTTAAATAGGTGCCTGTTGCGGTGTGCACTTCTCGAGAGTTTGTGGATAACTATGGGATAGGGGTTGGCGTGGATGTGCAGTTTGAGGCTGGCGTAGTTGTAGCAGCAGCAGCACCATCATTATCTCCAATTGTCATCATTCATCATTACCATCATCATCTTCTTTATTGATCACTACAATCAACTTCATTGTCATTAGAGCCACTTTCACAATATGTATACAAGTGTTTTAAAGCTGACTGCAATTTAGTATCATCAACGATACTATCATCTTCTTTATATTCGTCATCATCATAATCATGTTTGTTTCTAAGTAATGTTAAGCCCTCTTTGATTTAGCGCCACGTTCCGCACCTCAGCGACAGATGCCGCAAGACACAAACGCAATAGCAAGCGTCAGTACGCACAGCCTCGATTCCCATCGGCACGACTCCATACACTGATTGGCTGTGGGGTTTTGGGGAAGGGGGCCCCATCCATGCCACATAGCCAATCGGCCAAAAGCTGTCTCATAGCAGGAATCGGTCCTTATGTATGTTGAATGGAAATCATTTATTTTTATTCCATATTTACCTGGATATGATATCCTCATGGCCTGCAAAGTTCAGAACAATTCGAGAAATACATGAGCTTGTTAGTAAATTGAGCTTCACAAAAGGCAAATGCAAAAACTTAAACTTTCTTTGAACGCAATCTACCCACAATATTCAGAGCTATGACAGGGATCGTCAAGAGCCTTACATGCATTTATTGTTGTGAATTGTGCACAGTGGTTATCCTATGGAGAAGTTAACTTTTCAAGCAGGAGGATAACGTTTTAACTACTGCGCAGAACTACTAATAGAGGTGGTGACTGCGTAATACTCATTTTAACATAGGACTGCTGACTCATGGCCATGTTTGCAATGTTGTATGTGGTGTTAACGTTGGTTCCCTTGAACCTTTGTAATTAATAATGCTCTCATCCGAGAGGGGTAAGCCGATCCAGAAGTCCTCTTATTTGCTTATTTTCTAACACCTGTTGAAAGCAGGGTTGTCACCATCCAAGCACAATACGGGTTTAAAACTGCTTAGCCTCCAAGATATGATTTGATCAGTTGTATTCCAGGCAACTGGGTCATACACAGGGTACTACATATACAGAGCCCCTCTTATCTGGAGCTGAAGGGTCCCTCAAAGCTTCGATTATCAAGCAGCCCAATTTCTTGCTCTTATTTGCGGTTATCTGAGATTTAACCCATCAAGTCGTAGTGAAGTGGCTTACTAATACTCGCGATATTCCTGCCGATTAAAGGAGTCATGGAGCAAATTACTTTTGAATATCCGCAGGGTTATCCGCAATTAAAGCAACGGATGCTATCAAAGCAATGCACGGGCGGCACATGCTATTATCACGAGAAAGACACGCAGACACGAATATACTTACAGGCACACACAGACATGAGTACATAGACAAAGACTCACAAAGACACGAATACACTCACAACAACAACCACCATTCGCCACTAAGTGGCGGTGACGTCACCACGATGCTTGTACCAGGCCATGTGCACCTTGAGGCCACGTGAAGTGTCGAACGCCCGCTTGCAGGAGATCAAGAGGCAGACCCAGGTGCCATGGGTCGACTGACCGAGATGACCGAGATGACTGGCTGATGCGCCACCTGTGCCCCCTACTGTACCAACTTGCTGTGCTTTAGCCACCCGACCCTCCGCTCATTCTTGTGAGCATCGCTCCTCCGCCCTCCATTGTTATTGGAGAGCGACTGCCTCCAACTGCCCAGTAGCGTCCTTCACGAGCCTCCTGCACAGAGGTCAATCTTGACACCGCTGGTACCAGTCATCGGCAAGTCCACTCAGCTCCACGTCCTCCTGTACCACATCACTCCATCTCTTCTCTAGCCCGTGCCGCGCCCGTTTAGCCCCCACGATCCGGCCGAACAAAAGCTGCTTAGGCATGCGGTGGCTGGGCATGTGGGCTCCATGACCCAGCCAACGCAGCCTTGCCTGCCGGAGGAGCTCACCGATGGGACTTTGCCCAGATCTTTCAAGGATTTGTGAGCTCCTCACACAATCTAGCCTGGTTAAACCCAGGATCGATCGTAGGCAGGCCAGCCTAAATGTTTCTAACCGGCGAAGATGCTCCATTAGGGGGGTACACGTTTCGCAAGCGTAGAGAAGGGAGGGCCGTGGCCGAGATGACCTGAAGCTTCGTGCGGAGCGACAGACCAGGTAGCTTCCGCACAGCGTCATGCAACCGATGAAAAGATATTGCCGCTCGACTGATTTGGAGTGAGACCTCTGCTGTTAAACCGGCGCCGGTCATGAGCACACTGCCGCCCAGGTATGGGAAACTCTCCACTCTCTTCACAACTGCCCCATCACCGATTGGAAGTTGTGGGGGTGGAGTGCCCGATGGTACAAAATACCCAGGCAGGTGCTTATTTTTGGTGGGGCTGATGGTAAGGCCCCACCTCTAAGTGGCATGCTCTAGTTTCAGCAGCAGCGTTTCCAACTCCTCCTCTGAGTGAGCAGCAATTACCAGATCATCGGCATACATAACGTGGTTGAGCAATAGGGAGTCATCCCTTGACCGCACCCGGGCATCGATCAGCCTCCCATTATATCTGTACCAAATGGAAATTCCTCCGGTAGAGCTATTGAAGGCTTCACAAACTACGTGGTCAAAATATATGTTAAATAATGTGGGAGCCAAAGGACATCCCTGTAGCACCCCAAGGTGTACAGGGAATGGCTCTGACTCCTGGCCACGTAGTTTTACCCGGGCCCGCTCATCATCATGAAGGTCCTTAATGAGCATGAGCAGAGGGTCAAGAACAACCCAGAGCCCAGGCCTACTGATGGTATCATAGGTCTTGATCAGGTCAATAAAGCAGAGATGTAGGTCTTCTTGGAATTCCCTACACCTATGCTGTAGCAGATGGACAGAAAATATGGCATCTGTGCAGGACCGCCCTTTCCTGAAACCACATTGGGGCTCCGCAAGCCTCTCCTCAGCGTGCCTAGCAAGGCGATGTTGAATAATCCTTGCCAGGACCTTCCCGGCACACTGAGGAGTGAGATGCCCCTGTAGTTGTTACAGTCTGTGCAGTCCCCCTTCTTAAAGGGGGGGACCACCAGGGCATCCTTCCAGTCCTGCAGAACCCATCCAGTGGTCCAGACTGTTGTTATGATGTCATGTAGGGCAGTCTGTGCACAAACGCCACCCTCCCTCAGCATTTCGCTTGGGAGATCATCTCTCACAGACATAGTGACACAGACAAACAGGAAGGCGTGGAGACGCAAAGACAAACATGGGGACACTAACAAAAAGACGATGAAGTATTGGGGAAGTACACAGACATGGAGACTCAAAGCCAGAGTGAAAGAGACACAGACGGAGAGACAGGGACACACTGGCGCTGCCAGGAATGAGCTTGGACGGGACACGTTGCGAGTCAAGAACACATACAGTACACGAGGTGAGAGACTCGTTGTGTATCCCCAAGTCTGTGTGTTGTGTCTCACTTCGAATCAGTTGGTGGCATCTTTTCTTAATGCTGTGTGGAAGCTACCTGGTCTGTAGCTCCAGTCATGCCCTCCTTTCTCTATGCTTGTGAAACGTGAACCCCTCTAAATCGAACCGTGTGTGATCGGCATCACGCTCGCTGAAGGTGAATGCCTTCAGGGAAGTCGTGTTCTGTATATGCAACTGCGTACAATTCTGAGTCACTTATAACTGCTTTGCCGTTACTTATTGCCAATTATAGACTCAGACTATTGTCATATCATCGCATAGAGTCCCTGTTCTCATATTTAAATGATCTTAAGCCAAAGTATTTGACTAATCTTGGACTAAACTTACATTTCCAAACAAAGTCAAATAGAATCTCCAACATGATTTCAACTTAATTCAACATCAACATCATTATCATTGAACAAACAAAGTGCTTCAAATACTTTGGCTTACTGATTGATTCACAATTTACATTCCAACCCTATATTGATCACATCTCAAAGAAAATCAAATAGAAAACAGGGCTTTTATACAGAAACAACATTTTTTTTCCATTCAATTGCACCTGCAAATTATTGAAGCTATAATTTTCTTACTTTTGACTACTGTGATGCTGCCTACAGATCAGCTACTAATAAATCACGAAACAGACTGAAGCCCCTTCATCATTCTACTGTTCGATTTGCACTGGATGTACCATACAGAACACACCATTGTGACCTCTACTTAAAATCCAATCTCACATCACTTGATGCAAGACGAAATCTACATTGAGCCCTGTTCATGTGTAGGGGTGTTAAAGAGAGGGCCCGTTATGCATGGTAGCCTATGAAAAACAAACACAGTGGGCGGGGCTACGTAAGTGCACGAGGAGGTGCCCTCTACGACGTCCGAGCCAGACACCCTGGGGGGGGCTGGTTCGAACGTTATGATCCCCCGGGGCCCCACCCCTCAGGGAGGGGTTGGGTATAAAAGGGGATGTTCAAAGGGCTCGAGTCAGTTATGTTTAAGCTAAGGGAAGAAGACTGAACACGTCTTAGATAGAGCCCTGGACTCCCCTAGTTCGATGTCCTTTTCAGGGCCGGACAGGACTGAGCCAGCGGCGTGGTCCCGAAAGCCAGAGCCGGTGCTCTTGTAAGAGCTGGTCTGGAACTCCGGGTACCGGGCCCGACTTACCAGTGTCGGGCCAGTTAGCCTCCCCTAGCCCATTAGTGGAGGATTCGGGGCTAGGACAGAGTTAGCTAGGGGTGTATCCCGAGTTATACGGGTGAGGGGGCCGATACCCCCTCGAGTGTGTATATGCCCACTGTCGTATTGTGAAATAAATATACGTGTGCCTCAACCTCGGCGTCAAGCGTCTTCACCGGTACTTCAACTGGTGTCAGAAGTAATTCGAACATGGACACGCGGAAAACAGCACGGGCAAAAGTACCGCAGGAGGAAGACACTGCCGAGATCGTCGAGCCCGAGACGGCTCCACAAGACATGGTGCAGCCGGGGCCTGACGCCTCCTTACCGGGGCATCGAAATGAAGAGGGGCCGCAGTCAGACGCGTTACGGCTGGCTCACGGTAGGCTGGCGGAGCTGCTGTATGCCGCTGCCGCCATGCTGGAGACCATCACGCGATTGGGGGCCGGTGATCCAACACGGGGCGAGGCGAGCCAACGACCAGGGCGCCTTCCCGCCATTTCGGAGCAGTCCGAATTTGAAATTCCCGCCATCGACGCTACAGCTGTTCAGGGCGTGGCCAGCCTGAACATCCGCTCCGACATCGCCGTCGCTGGAGCTGCAGCGTCATCACCGCCGGAGGGTGCGTCATCACAACCGCGACAGGCGATCCCATCGGCCGTTCGCACCGACGCACAGCCGAGTGGTGGTGACATCTGCCTGCGGGGGTCTACAACAACTGCTGCGCTTCATCAGAGACTGCCCCCGCTGAAGGAGTTCATCGGCGCGGAGGGAGACTGGGCCGGGTTTCGCCGACGTTTCCTCGCCCATCAGGAGATGGCGAAATGGTCCGATGAGGAGGCTCTCTGCGCGCTGCCGGCGCTCCTCGACGGCGACGCGCTCGCCGCACTC